ACTAGGAATTTGCTAAGGCTCTCAAAGCCAAACGTTGGGCTTCTCCTTGGAATAGTAACGGAATACAAGGCCATTGGTCCCATATGCACCGTGTTCGGAGCGCCGTATAAGAATTTCTGCAGAAGCTATAGAGATGAAGAGTAGATATTATCCGTCCTTTACGAGTGCACTGTACTCCAGAGAAAATACCGCAAATTTTACTGTTGCTTAAGTTAAGTTTAGGTAGTACTGGCTGTCGAATGAATGCCACACGTAGACCGCATACTGCATAGACCATGTTTCCAAAAATGGTTATACGTATCAAATTCCACCTAACCAACCTGAGACGATGTTGATGAAGGTTTCCTCCTCTTTGGCAAACTTCATTAAACCTTTTGGTCCTTTTTCGATTGTCGTCCGTCGACTCTGTGATTGAACTTCTGCATAGTGGAAGTACGTATGTTGCGCCTTAAAAACTGGGTTTTCTTCTTCAACTTTCTAGTCTTATACCTCAGAGCTTCGTAAAGTGGGTTCCGCGGAACCCAAGGGTTCTATAGACAGCTTGCTTTTTTTTCTAACCGGTATGCATTGTTGGCCGCTGTAGCCCAGGGGTTATATACACCTTTCTACAAGAAAAGCGAAGAATTGCCAAATGAAATGTGAAATGTCATAGCTGGGCACTTGTTAAATCACCTGAAATCTTTGTCAGATTATTGAAACATACATTTGTATCGGTGTCTCTGAAAGAACTTTGGGTTAGTGTTAAGAGTAAAAATCATGAAGTCGCTAAAAAGGTCATCCTACCTCTGCTTCCTTCTGTCACAACGTACTCTGTCAACAAAGCATGGTAATAAATTTCGTTTTTGCTTAATGCTATGTTAGGACGAAATAGCAATTTTTAAATGCGTGGCAACCCCACTCAAAAAAAGTTATTATACATACGGCCATGCCCACTCATTTAACATCTCATTTTGTTATCCAACGAACAGTGAAGATCTTATAATTTTAATCACGTGGCAACCCTACTAAAAAATAATACATTTTTGCACATCTAGAGGCTAAATCTTTTCGTTTGACAGTGATGGTTCAGATCTGATAGCTTCGCTTAATAAGATTGAATATAGTAATTTTCTTAACAGGTGGCAACCCCACTCGAAAAAATAAATCATTTATGCTTATCTAGGGATAATCCCTCTTATTTGACACCTCATTTTTTGCAATCCAACGAACTGCGCGGATCTTATAATTTTTTAGACAGGTTGCAACCCTATAGAAATTCTTAATACCAAAGGTCTCGTTCCTGTCTATACAGAATATATTAGAAAAAATCTCTTCAAAATTCGTTTAGAGGTTTTCGATACTAGCGCATTCAAAGAATCTCTACTTTCCTTTATACTATTTATAGGTACGTTAGGAACTTTCAATAAGTGGCAACCCTATACAAGAAAATTCAAGCTTATGTACATGCGAAGGCCATGCTCTTTCATTTGGTATCTCATTTTGTAATTCAACGCACGGTGAAATTCTTTTAATTTTTCAACAGGTGGCAACCCTATTCAGAAAAATAATACATTATTGCATATTTAGGGGCTAAGTCCTTTCATTTGACAGTGACGGTGCAGGATGCCTATGCTTATTCTGATTGAATGTAGTAATTTTATTAACAGCTGGCAACCCTATTCAAAAAAAAAAAACATTAGTGCCTTTCTAGAAGCCAATCCCTTTCAATTGATGCCTCATCTTTTGAAATCCAATGAACGGTGCGGATTTTATAGTTTTTTTAGACAGGTGGCAACCCAATTTTAAAGAAAAAAATCACTCTCCTATCGATACAGAGTATATTAGAGAAAATCTCGTCAAAATCCGTTCAGTACTTTTCGAGATTACCGCGTACAAAGAATCTCGACTTTCCTTTATACTAAGGTATAGATTAATAATAGCGAAACAATTTCTATCTTAAAGTGTGTTTGCATTGTTCAACTTTGCGTTCAACAATTGCGTTCAACTCAGCGCAGGGTTGCACGAAAAAAAAGTTGAATGGCTAAAAATATCAAAATATGAAAAAATATCAAAATATTCGCCATAAAAAGGTGTTTGCATTGTTCAACTTTGCATTCAACTTTTGGTTGAATGGCCTTTCAACTAATCGCTTTCAACAAAGTTGGTCGCCAGCCAACATTTAGCCATTCAACTTTTTTTTCGTGCAACCGTGCGTTGAGTTGAACGCAATTGTTGAACGCAAAGTTGAATAATGCAAACACTGCTTTAACATTAAAATATAAAATATGTATACTATTTCTAGTAAAAGTTATAAAATGAAAAGTGTTTAGTAAGGGTTCTATTATCATAATAGTTTAAGAATCCCTGTTTTAACTATATGTGGTTATTTTTGCCTACTTTATTCAGGAAAACTACTCGCGTGTTACTGAAAGAACTTTATTTAGCCTAGTGTGGCTTGCATTCCGTATATTCCTCTCTATGTTAGTCTTGCTTACCAAATCTTAAAGAGTTTGTTTCGATTCTCCTGTCTCTGGCGACCTCCTCCCTGGGTCCCTCGTTGAAAACCATTATTGAAGCATTTTTCGTCTTGAATTTCATAAGTCCTTAAACAATATTACCTGGGACCATTTTTATCCTTTCTAGAAAATCTTGGTCACGAACTTCTAACCTTGTCTATTAACTTTTTGTATGTATTTATCAGAACACTTCTCCGAGCTCTTCGTGGATTGTGGAATTTTCGTATCTTTACACAGTTTACTAGCTTTCCATGTGAGAATTCCGAGCACAGCTTTCACGAAGGGATTACCACCTTGCTTGCTAATACAGTTTCCATCCTACGTACTGCATTCCAAAATCTGACCGCCTTCGCGCCCACTCACGTTTTTCTGTCGCCTTTGTTGTTTGTATCAGCTTACTAAATTTTGCCTTAAGGAAAGAAATCACTAAATCCCATGTAACTGACGGGTTCGTAGAGGTTGTAGATGAGTTAGTTTGAATCACTTTATCTGCGAAGCCTCCTGTTATGCTCCCTAACTAATGTTCAGACGACACAAGAAGGCTTGCATGGGCAATCCTAAGTGCGGCATATTGAAACAGCTGAAGTTTCGTCCACTGCTTCCTACTAGTTCCTGATGACCACATAGCCGCAGCATGCACTGAGAAGTGTAAGTTTAATTACATAAGCAGAGCTAGCCGCAATAAAGTATGCTTCTGATTGGTTTCTCTCTAGTGTAATACCTTTTAGCCAAGAGTAACTATAAAGGTCCTTGACTGCTTACGGGCTCGTTCAAGAATGGTGACAGATTGTTTTACTACGTCATCGACCGCATCATATTACTTCGCTATTAAGGTTATTTGGGTTCCGGTTCACAGCAAAATCGCTGGAGACTGCATGACCGATGAACAGGAAAAACAGAAAACCCTTGAGAAGGTGCTTCCGAATAGAGAAGGTCTGGGGGATCCGCTGATTTCTTGCGGTCTGCTTCTGCGGTTAGTCAGCTCAGTGAGCGCTGGGCGAAGACCTTGAAATGCAAGCTGGTTAAATCCGTTTGGCCACGTGTAGAGCGGCGATTCGGAGAACTCTTGAGACTCAGCAAGTTACACCTCTCGCTATTGGTGGGAGTTCTAACTGGTCATTGTATTCAGCATTACCATCGATTACTCTTACTGCATGAGTTGCGTGGGCGACGATGAAGTGGCATCAACGCCTGCTGCTCTGTCGCCCTGTCTTTGCGAGCCTAATCTCTAAGCACATTAGATCACACAGCCACCTTTCCTAACTAAATAAGTTCTTTTATTAGCGTACTTTAGAACCGGTTGGCCTATCGTCCTGTGCTGCCGGTGCGCGATTTGAAGATCTTGATGTAGCTCTGTACTTTACTCGCAGTTGCGATTGCCTGCGCCTAGACGAAGTGCACGCTGTCAAAAGTAACCTCTAACATTTTCGCATTATCTACGATCGTTGCGGCCACTGACTTCATTAGAGAAAGTCTTAAGTTTCGTGCAGTGCAAAATCTGAAAAGCTCTAAGAGATATCCACTCACTTTTAGACACAAGTAACCAATGACGCCAAAATAGAAGTCATAGGCGTAAGAGATCAAGGTACTGCCCTCAGGTGGAGGAGTGAGGTGCGTTTTATCCCTTCATCTTCAATTTTTCGAACACTGTGCTAACATCACTTCAAGATTGCTCATACATATTTGCATACTTACATATGTATGTATGTATGTAAATATGAAAACTGTGGCACGGTAGCCCCAACGCGCTCAGCCACAACCGAAACTTTTGTTGCTGACAACACAAATTCATACAAAGTTACATACTTATATATGAATGTATGTAATTAAAATACCTAAATGAAGACACCTGTGTATGTATGTATATAGATATATACATATATTTACACTCATATTTACGTACAAAGCCAGTAGCATCAAACGAAAGCCTATACTTTTCCAGATTGGCTCGTGCTTACCAAGTTTACCACAATTCAATGCGAGAAGCCACAAAACTTGCAATGGTATACATAGTGTTTGAGAAAAGAAATGCAACAAAGGAATACGTAGAATAGAAAGAGCCAGTAACCAGTTTTCGTAAAAGTAGCAGCGAGCCAAACCAACCTAGACACTGGAACATCGACACTCAGCGCATGCGCGACGATTAAGCAAAGTTTTAAATGTGATTTCAACGCGCTGGTGAACAGACGAAAAACGCGGAGATGCTTAATACGACAAAAAGGATTTAACAGTGAATATATGACGTTGGAAAAAAGAAAAGCAAAAATTAACATAGTGATTGTGCTAAAAGAGCAACAGATTGGAGAATAATTATAGCGTGGAAAAGAATTTATTGGCAAGTGTGAAGGCGTGAAATGCGCAATTTGTGGTTTAAATTGGATATAATAATGAAGCACAGTGTGCAAATAAATGGATTCAATAGTTAAAAATGCATATGTCGATTTGATTGAAAAATAATTAAAAAATTTAAAATTACAAATTTTATTAAATCGAGTATTCAATAAGTTTAAGTAAAAATAAATAAACAAAAATATTTGCATACAAAGCACACAAACTAAAAAATATGAAAATATTAAAAGTGCATTTTACGGTGCTCGTGTTAGCACCTTTTTTGCTATGTGGCTTTGTGCATTGTGAAAATGAGTTCGAACGCAAAGAAACACCAACGAAAACTCCCACCTCCACAACTCAAGCGCCAGCGGTTGTCGAAACAACCACCGCCGCCGCCGTGGCGCCAGTTGTAGGCGATAGCACTCGATATGCGCGTCTCATGAAGGTCCTTCGGGACCCCAAGGCGTTTGCCGCTCAGCGCTACCATGCCGCGACGCAACGCGTAATCGCGCGCGCTGACCACCAACCACCAGCAGGCCTCGCCTACCGTCGCGCTTTACAGCCGCATGTCGCCGCGGCGGCGCCACCTTCTGCTTACCACAAGGTGCGCCCGCCAATTATGCGTCGCGTCCAAAATGGACTACCCGTAAATGGCGCGCCACCGCGTTTTGCCTACGATACGCCCAAAGGCGGCCAAAACCATTTGCCTTCTAAGAGTTTAGTGCCATTCAATGCAGGCAAAGTGAGCGTTTATCGCCCGCCATTCACGTACGCGCAACAGCAAACGCACCCAAACTCCTTAGTGCTACAGTCCGCTGCGACTGTTCAAGCTACTAAGCATCAGCTACAGCAGCCACAGACACATTTTGGGGAATATAATTTCAAAGCATCGCCACCCTTCAGCGGCAAGGCGATTGTGCGCCCGCTACTCGAGCCGCACGATCCAAACTACAGGCAACATTTGCAGCAGCTACAGCAGTATGCAGGCAAACCACAGCAAATGGTGCAACAATATCCCATACCACAACAACAGCAACACCAGCAGCAGCAGCAGCAGCAACAACAGAGCACTTCGCATTTCCCTACAATCTACCAGTCTGCGCTGAAACAAACTGCCAACCGCGCGCCAACATTTCACTACGAAACGATGCGCCCGCACGAGGAACCCGTCCTCCATCCACATGTAAAGCATGAGCAACCACCGCCAGGTAGCGCTGGATATGCGGTGTACGAACACAACGATTTGGCTGAAGAGGAGCAAGCGTACGCGCATCCACACGCAAACTATCCGCCTACCGCGCGTACAGAGGAAATATCGCAACAATATCAAAGATTACAGCAGCAGAGTCAACGCGCAACTCCTGACACCACTGCAAGCGAACAACAAGCTGAGGAATATATAAAATTTATGAACTCCAATGATTATTTTCTACCCAAGCGTGAACCCAACTATAGGCAGCGGGATACTCAGCAGGATAGCCAGCAGCTGCAACTACAGCAGCACAAGCAGCAACGGGCGCGTGAGCAACAACAACAGCAACAAACTACGTACAACCACTACCCGCAAGCGCAGTCGCAGGCGCAAGCACAGCAGCAACATTCGCAGCATATACAATACAGTAAAGCTTCAGTGAGCGATAGCGCTAGCTTCAGTTCAGCCACAGCCAGCGCTGCGGATGCCGCTACTAATTACTTAAATCAGCCCATACAAGTATCGCAACTTTTCTACCAGGAAGACCCCGTGCCCAGTATCGTACGCGGCAGCTATCAGGCGGGCAACAATCTATTCGTTGTTAAATCAGATGGCAATAAAGCTGTAAAACATGTAGTGCCTTCACCCTCTACACGAGCGCCCACTACACAGGCGCCTGCCTACGCGAAGGTGCGCTACAACTCGCAGCAAAACCGCACGCCAGAACCGCAACGTTTCGAATTCACAGAGCGCGACGCTGTGCACTCAGCGTACACCAATTCACCGCCATCATTTGGCAGCGGTCACGAACACTTGCACTACAGAACCGCAAGTGAATTCAGCACCTCCACAACACCAGATTTGTCTGCTTCAAGTAACAATAACTTTGGTACAGCCACAATGCCTTCCGCTGATGATCCGGAGGACGATGAGGATGTACAGAGCGCCAGTTCGGTGAGTACTTGCATAACTAGCGCTGGTGATTTAGTGAATTAAACCTTTTTTTTTACATAGGACTTTTATGGACGCGTCCCACCGCGGCTGTCAACATCAGCGGGTGACGTGCCTGCAGCGCCGACATCGCCTGCTCCGGTCGAACAGAAAGACACCGAAGATTATTGCGAACGTATGTGCGCCAATGTGCAAGATGGCGATGAGGAAATTGTCTGCGGCTCTGATGGCTACATGTACACCAGCGAGGCGCAAATGGAATGCTACGCCTCGTGTCTGCATATCGGTGAGTAGCGTGAAAATTACAAATGAAGAGCGAGTGAAGACGTTGAGCCGCATGAAGTTGTGTGAGACGTTGAATTTGACAAAAAAGTGATAAGAGGCGACAAAAATTTAAAAATTTTAAATATTTTGAGTAAGCTTTCATTATAGTGGGTCCTAAAAATATTGAACAGTCGAAATTTGTCGCACAAATTTGGCAGTTCCTATGAGAACTTGGAAGTTTCCAAGGCTTTCATAGTTCGCGGGAATGAGACTAATATGCATTTGTTAAAGCTTTTTAGGTTTTCAAAAATGGTATTTGTAGAAATATGAAAAATCAAACTTTACAAAATTTTCGCGAAAATATTTTTATTGATGAAAAAGTGTTTTTTATTCGAGATAGGATAAAAATGCGTTTTAAGAAAAATTTTAAAATATGTTTGAAAACATTTTATTTGAAAAATTTCTCCAAAAGTAGTTCCAAAAAAAATATATTGCTTTTTTTGTAAATAAAAATGGTTGAAATGGCGAAACTCGACAAACAAATTTTGACAGTTCTGTAAGAAATTTGTATTTGAAAAAATATAAAAATTAATAATTTTAAAAAAGTCTCGCAAAAATATTTTAAAATTTGTATGATTAAAAACCGTGCATTATTTGTGCTATGAAAAAATTCTTTTTTAGAAAAAAAAATATTTATATAAATATAAAAAAGGATAATTTTAAGAAATTTTCGCAAAAATATTTGACACTATGTATAATTAACAAGTGCTTATTTTTTATTGTAAGAAAAATGCGTTTTATAAAAATTGTTTCATATTTTTGGCAACATTTCGTTAGAAACAAAAATTTATTATTTCTTCGAAATTCAATATTTTTGAAAATTTGGTTAATAAGTTTTTATATATAAATCTCAGTATTTACATATTTAATGAAAACTGGATTTCAAAAAGTATTGAAAAATTAACCTTTAACCCTTAATCCTTTTCCAAAATATTTTGATATATTAATAAAAATACATTATAAATTTTTATTTTCAAAAAACTAAATAAAAATAATTTTTACTTTTATAAAAATATTGAAGTACTAAAAAAATTTATAAGAAAGTTTTTTTTAACAAAAAGGTACTTTTTATAAAAACTAACAAACCATGAGTTATTTTATACTAGTTTTATATACTAAAATTCAACAAAGGGTTTTTATTAATTTTAGTAAAGTTGTGTATTTATATAAAAATATAGAAATATTTTTCAAAAAAATTTCGGAGAAAAAAATAAATTTTCAATATTTTTATATTCAGTTTTCGCATAATAAAAAGAGTTATTTTTTTATAAAAAGAAAATAACGCATTAAAGGGCTATAGAAATTGAATATTCTACGAATACATACATAACTAAAAAGTGTTTAATTAGTCAACAAATAAAATTATTTATTGAAATGGTTTTGGAGATATTTTTTGATAAAGTTCAGGAAAATATACTTTTTCAATAATTTTTATAATCCAGTATACAATATTTTTCTTATAAAAAGTAAAAGCATTTCACTAAAAATATTTTTTATTAAACATAAATATTTTAACATTTAAGTAAAGAAGTGTGTATATTTTAAACAAAGTAAAGTAATTTATTTTTACTAAAATAACAATATTAAAAAATGGAGAAATTTTATGAAGCAAACATATTTTAATATATTCTCAAACTCAGGTTTTAAAAAACAGAAAAATATGTGATTTTTATATAAAGGGTATTCTTTAAAAAGGATTAAAAAAAATCGTAGAAAGTGGATTTGCAATTAAATTTTTTAAAATTTAGCTAAAAAATTGTTTATCTGTTAAACCAAGTGAAATCCTTCATTTTTATAAGATGTCAAAATGTTTTTGGAAAAACTTTGTGAAAAAAGCAATATTTTCCAATATTTTTTTTAATTCAGTTTCCATAAAATGAAATGTTATTTTGGAAAAAAATTAAGTCTTTATAAAAAGTTAAAACAGAATTTATCTCTACATGTTTTAATACAATTAAGATTCAGCTAAAAAGCGTTTTTATTAATTTAAGTACAATTATTTTCTTTTATATGTAAATATAAAAATATTTTTAATAACCGTGGTTGAAGAAGTTTGATGAGGAGTATGGTTTTCCATACAATTTTTTCATTAAAAACGGCCCTAAGCCCGAAAAAAACCTAAAGTTGTTGAATATAATTGTTATAAGGTCATATATAACAAAACCAATTTTTAATTATATTTTTTAGAAGTTTTATAAAAAAATCTCTTTCGATATTTTTTAAAACTATACATAAAATTATCTTTTAAAAAAGGTGTATTTTTTATAAAAGTTTATATTGGGTTTTAATTAAATTTTCCAAGATTTAGGAAAATTAGTCATTATTTGTTGGACCAAATAAAATAGTTTCTTTTTGCGAAGAACCAAAACATTTTTGGAGAAACTCCATGAAGAAATTATTTTTTAATATACGTATTTAAATTTCAGTTTTCATTTAAAATTAAAAAAGATTTGCTTAAAAAATTTATTTATAAAAATTATCTCTTGCAAAATTTAGCTAAGAACAATTTATCATAAGTCTTAGAATTACAAATTTTTAAAAAAAACCTTAGATTATTTTTTATAAAAATTAAATATTTTAATAGGTAGCTAAATGTGTCATATCAAAATATTAAAGAAAATATATTTTTGGAGAAATGCATAGGAAAAAATTAATTTCTCCATACTTTTTAGAATTCCACTTGCATAAAATAACAAAATGTATTTTTTCTTAAAGCGTGTATTTTTTTTATTTAAAACAAAATAAGGAATGTTATTAAAGGGATGTTATTTTTAATTTAATATCTTAAATGTGTTTATTTAGCATCGAAATTTTAATAATTTACTTTTAGGAAAATGTCAAAATATTTTTAAAATATGTTGAGGGCAATTTTTTCGAACACAAATCCTAATATAAATGAAATAATTTATTTTTTACGAAAATATCCATTTTTTAATCTTTTTGGAGAAATTTTATGGAAAAAATTGATTTTCAATATAATTCAAAATTCAGTTAAAAAAAAAATCATTTTTTCGTGGAAAAGTGTATTTTTATAAAATAATATATATAAAAATAAATGCATACAAAACTTATATCACTTACATACATATATACATATGCTCGATTTTACAGTTTTTTATGAACACCTAAATCAGTATTTCCTTTCCAACTTGGAAATATTTAAATTGTTATAGTCTTTGACCTGTAAATTTCTCGTGAGCACCATCGTTCCATGTAAATACTAAATATTTTTTTCTTTACAGATGTAACGGTTCAAAGCAAAGGTTCCTGCAGCACTCGGTGAATTGTCGGAACTCCATTGATACCGAATCACTAAAGCCGACCGAACGAGAAACACATTAACTAACTTCTAGCGAATTTCTAAAGTATTTCAATTTTACTTGCATTACTCCTAACTTAATATAAAGTTAGTTTGGTAATAGATATGTATTTTAGTACTACTATCTACTACTACTACTATTACTACTATTACTACTATTTTAGTTACTACTTAGGCGCATTTGTAAATTATACTTATTTATTTATTTGTTCGAATGAAATGCAAATCAAAGAGAATAAATTATCAACACTATAAATTTATAGACAAGTGGCTATGTTTTATGTACTAATATTTACATATTTATGTTAGAAATTAGAGTAATGAAAAGTTTGCCAAAAAGTGTAGTCCTCGCTTATTGCCTAAAATCTTAATATCTGGTCCTCTGACTGGCTTTTCTAAGCATCAGATTTATGTATGTATATCCCAAAAAGTTAGAGCTGTGTCCAAATTGACTTTCTATGCAAACTGGGGAGAAGGACTCACGAAATAACACCCTTTCACTATTCTTGTTACAAGTGAACAGCTGATTGACTATCAGGTATGCACCAGGTAGGCGATCAACTCAGGTTCTAAGAATTCAAAAGCTTCATAGTAAAATCGTTTTAGTGTAAATTGGAAACTGTGTTCAAAAGTTATTTTAAACTTACGGTACCGCCTTTTGAAGCCAGATACATACTATTGGAATTCTCGTATGTACATTGTAGAAATTTTTAATTTTTCTATTTTGAGCTGGAAAGCTAGAGAATGACGTTAAGTCAAAATTTAATAGGTCAAGGTTTATGTTATTTAATGAAAACAGTGGCAATAACCTGATTTAGAATTATAGTCAACGATGTATCCACTTAGCAGAGAACGCCATGGTCCAGTATCAAGCCTCTTTTCTGTTTTTCAACATCGATTTGCTCGAGTCGTTGTTTTTGAACTAAGTACTTAACTGCATGCCTAAGAAACTCTATTTAAAAAAGGAATGACCATAAGGAAGAGGAGTTTTAGTTGGGCAGATTTGAGGCCGAAAATTAAGGCATGGTTATTGACGTTCGAGGCTCCTACACAAGCCGTACATGTGTTGGGTATGATGGGGTCGATTCTGTGTAGGCAAGAGTTTAACCTGCTACAATATCCTGACTGTGTCAGATTGGCGTGGATTTGTGAAGCACTTAATCTGCTACAGACGTTGGTTGGATTACGTTTACGGTACTTTCAGTTAGAGAGCTCAAGAGGGTGGTGGCAGGCCCTCGGTGAATGTCGTTTAAAGCATGTCTTTACACAATGGGGTCTAGGTTGTGAATGTCTTCCGCTAATTCGTAAAGATGACTTCCGACGTGCCTCGGTGACGTTCCCGCTACCAGCCAGTACCATTTTGGGTGCTCCAAACGGGAACCACTAAGCAAAACGATAACAAAAGTGTTCTACAGTATTCCAGTACGCCTAAAACCCTGTCCGCTAATCACCGATGACCATAGTCTACAACCGTCCGGCAAATCTGTTACCAACAAAGTTTCTACGCCTTTTCACGGAGCGCTGTAAGGGCGCGCACAATTACGAGGTGGGCCAGTAACAGATTGAACGAAGTACTGCATATGGCTGCCGAAGTGATGCAGCAACTGCTGAAGTTTGCTCAGACTTTGTTGCTTTTTTCATTTTTCCTAAAAATCAGCTGCTACTCCAGCTACCTTCAATTCTGTTGGAAGCGTTGCTGTTAATGGCAAGGATGTCCAATCGTCGAAGTCAGGCTTAATATTAAGGCCAAAAGAATACAAAAATCTCAATACGAAGTAGTTGGGTCTAAAATTGTAAGACCCGCCTAATAGTGATGGCGCCTCAAATCAAGATTCCTAGGCCAACAACTATTGCCTAAGTTGTATCCAAAGAAAATCCACTTAAGGCCCGTCCACATACAACTTTGGCGTTGCGTCGGCGCTGGCGTCGCTTTGACAGCAGCGCGAGTAACGCCCGCGCTTGCTACAATGAACGCTTAGCAGAGAATACTTTGGTCACTAAATTAACATACTAGCGGCACCAAAAACCAAAATTTTACATCAATAATTGCTTTAAAAAATATATTTCTTGCCCGCATTTGATTAAAAATGAAAATTGAATCACATAATTTTGATTATTTGGAACAGCTGACGAATGACGCGCGCGAAAAGTTGAGAGTTGGTCATCTTTCTGCGTTGTGTTGGCGTTGGCGTTGCCCAACTTTGGTTATGTGGAGACTTTCATATAAATGCATGTATTCATAGTCAGCTGTCGAAGCGACGCCAACGCCAACGCAACGCCAAAGTTGTATGTAAACGGGCCTTTAGAGCTCTTTTTCCGAATTGGCATCATCATCCATACGTACTTCACCTCCAAGCCAAAGCCCACATGAACAGGGCCATAGATTAAGAGATGTTGTTTTCGTACTTTAAAGGTCGGGTATAAGATCGACAAAAAGAGTGTTGCGCAAATTTGTGCAGCTGCCTTGGCTCAGAGGTTAGAAGTGCGCACTATCACTCCGCAGGACCTGGTCCGAGCAACATATAAATTAGACAAAGATTTTTATCAGCGGTCACCTCTCAGCAGACAATTCCAAATGCCATCAAAAGGCTTCTTATAAAATCCATTTTCCGTTCAGAGGCGACGGAAAACATTAGGTCTGGCTGGATGATTGACGTGAGCTTCGTCCACATGTTGGTCTGCGTACTTCTTCATCAAATGAGTGGACGCCTTTTAATGAAATTTAGCTAAACTTAAATTGCAACCTACAGAACTGTGGTGAAAAATCTTGTAAAAACTTAATTGGAAGCTGATATTTAGAGAGAGATCTAGAAAATTATTTCTAGGAAATCATTGGTAGTTCATTTAACATCTTGAAAATTCTAGAGAACAGATGGCATCTGAAGTCTAGAATTGTAAACTAGATGCACGCGGCTACAGGCCCAACCCCATGCAGTTCTGGCGGGCTCTTAAACGCCACCAATATCGGTACAATATTCGCCATTTGTTGGACTGTCTTTTGTAAGACAATTGAGAAACTGCAGACAAGATAGTCTTTTTTTTGTTTATTCTGCCACGAAAGTCTTACGAAAAAAAACTCGTTTGCCAACTTTTATGGTAAAAAGCTCTTTTGATAGTAAGCACTTGAGCTTTTCCAAATGGAGATGTATGTACATATCGTCACCTAAGGGTGAAAAGGTGCCAAGTCCATTTTTTTAACTGTTCATAAGAGACGAAAAATCAATGTAATTTCCTATTACCTGCCATTCTGGATCAAAAACTAAATATTGAAAAAAATGGACTTGGCAGCTTTTCACTTTTAGATGGCGATATATTATTTTGTTTGCGCTGCTCCAACAGTCACAATGGCCAAGTGAACCAAGCACTGTTGTGCCATTCGTGAGATCATAGATACAAATCCTCGGACAGAGAATTTTTTTTAATATATTACTTTTTTAAATTTAATTTTTTCTTTTTTTGCTATGTAATTTTATTGTTTAAAAAGTAAAATATGTATGTATATATTTTTTAAATTTTATTTATTTTTAGAAACGGAGTTTTGTATTTTTTCATTAAAATTTTTCATTTTTAATAGTTTTCTTGTAATTTGTATATTTTATTGTTTCCAGAATAAAAAATTAAGTGAATTAGCTACTCACTTTTTAATTATTTTTTTATATAATTTTCTTTTCAATTTTAAATTTGTTGTTATCAAAAGAAATATTTTTTAAATTTTCATTTCATTTTTAGAAACCTATTTCACTATTATAAGTATGTTTAGATTTAATTTTGCTTTAGTTTTAAGATTTCATTGTTTTAAAACGAAAAATATGTTTTCTTTAATTGATTAAATTTTAGAAAATTGCTTTTTTGAAGACAAAGTTATGGTCATCTTTCAATTAGGCTTTCGAAAACGAAAAGAGCTTTCTAGAAAGTCGCCAGAAATGAGAATTATGAGTTGAAAGACAGTTGCCAGAATAGACCTGTAAATCTTATTGTGGTTTAAACTTAGTTTAAACGCAAGCTAATTTAAACTACGGCCAACCAGCTATTTAATATGAACATTTAAATGGGCACTTTAAAACTGGACCTTAATCTTAAAAAACACTGTTAATTTCAAAAATTTAACGACTTTACGCCTTTGCGCTCGTTCCTATATTTGCACTGCCTTGACTGTTGCTTTAGCGCGTCATCTACCAACTCAATTTGCTAACTTAATGTTATCACTAAAATACAACTTTGCACTATGTGGCAACATTGTCCAAACTGCTATTTGACAATTGCCGATTGACATTTGACTTTTGCTGTTTGACTGCAAAAAATAGCGGAGTCCCTTGTCAATTTTTGCGATTTTTTGCAATTCAAGAACAAATTATAAAAATTGTGAAAAGATGACGACTTATCTGACCGATAATGATGGCAAATTCATCCCAGCAACTCAGCGACCGGATGGTACTTGGCGCAAGGCTCGCCGCGTTAAAGATGGCTATGTACCACAGGAAGAGGTGCCCTTGTACGAGAGCAAAGGTAAGCAGTTTGCACAACGTAGGAGTACGCTACCGCCTGGCATGTGCCCGCTGGTAGCTGAGCAAACCAAGAAAGAACGTGAAAAGCAAGAACGCGCTAAAGCCAAAAAGTTGGCCAAACAACAAGAAAACGCAAATGCTTCAAAAGCGGGGTCCGCCAGTAGCGGGAACAATAAAAAACCGAAGCAAGCCCCATCTCAATCACAACCAACTCCCGGCTTGTTAGTGTTGCCCGATACTGTTACGGCTAAGGCCGCAGTACCAAAGCCTAATGCTAATACAAATAAGGCATCGAGTACAAATAGCAACGATGCCGTAGCCAAACTTGCAAATGACTTGCAGTCCAGCCTAAAAGTGCAATCAGATGACGGTCATGAAGCGTTGAAGAAACTAAAAAAGTTGCGCAAAAAACTGCGTGAAATTGAAACAATCGAACAACGTATTAAAACTGGTGAGCTTAAGAAACCTGAAAAAGATCAACTAGATAAAGTGAAGCGGAAAAAGGATATAATCAAGGAAATTAAACAGCTTGAAGATGAAGAGCTGGCGTTATCAAAACGAAAGGCAAATGACTAAATTGTCTTGCTGCCCGCAGCATTAAATAAACGTCATGCGGCTCTGAAGTGCCATGAAACAATGTACGAGATGAACTGTATTTCCTGTACACCAACACCCACTGATTGTCTAGCCTTCGGGTTGACAAACCTCAGCTAATTAATACATAAATAACTGATCTAGTGTTAATATTTTAAGGACTTTCTTATTTTAATATCTATACAAAAAAGTTTTTAAACTTTCCGTTTTATTTAAATACTTAACTGCTTATTTTTTTGTACATTAAGATTAGTGATATTAAATTTTTATTTATGTATATTTGCGCACGAAATCTGTGCATTACAAAAATGTTATCAAAAATTGAGGTTAAAATTTATTTTTAGCGCAAAAATGAAAATTGCATACTTATAGGCACAAACTTAAAAAATACATTAGTTTTTAATTAGCGATTAGTTTAAACTGTTTTAATTTTGAAAATGTTGTTATTTTAAACAATTTTAATTAAAATTTAAACATTTATTGCATGTTTATAAATTACAAAAACTGTTGTGTTTTTAGTTTTTGTTTTGCCCAATTATAATTTGATGTTTGCGCTAAATCTAAAACAATTTTTAACACACTATAAGAATACAAAGCAATCGAAATATTTAAATTTTGTGACAAAACATTATCTAACATCAGCTGATCTTCTATAGTATGTACTCATTAAGTAAAGCTGCAAGCATATGCATAGTACATATGTACATATTTATATAAGTCTTAAATTATTTATTTATAGAGAAAATTCAAAAAAATTACGACTGCCTATAACTTGCGCATTCTGTTACCATACAAAGACAAAAATATACATAAAGTACTAAGCAAAATCAAAAAATAAAACTAACATAAAAGTAAATGCTTAGTAGTAGAATAAGAATGATAAAACTTTTGGTATTTTTATGCGGGTGGTATACTATCGAAAAGCATTTAAAAAATGTCCGAACCAATGTAGAAATCGTCTACAATTTAAACAAACAGTACTAAATAAGCCAACAAATTAAGTGAAGATTGATGAACCCAAAGATGACGATAAATCAAACTGTATAGAGCAGCAATGTTACTTTTATAAAAACTATTTATAAAATAGAGTTTAAATGTGTGCGAAGATACTTCATATAAAACTATGAAATAAGTGAGAAGAAAAAACAAACGAGTTATAACAATTGTACTTCTATATTTTAAAAATAATTTTACAATTTTATGTGAGGTCTATTTTAGTATGTAATCGATATTATAAAAATAAAACAAAAACAAAATATTTATGTTTAGTTAATAGAATTAAAGTCAATATTGAATACAAACGAAGTTGTGAATCATGTAAACTCCAACGACATTTAGAGTCCAATAAATGTTTATCAATGAAAAAATGCGTTTTTTGTAAACAAAGATTAAACAGAAACCCTATAATAATATTATAAATTGTGTAAAAATTAAATTTAAAAAATACTTGGTATTTCTATATACTGAAAAAAATTGCCCTATTTCACTTCTCTACATAAGACTTAGTTCGAAATGTCCCTCATTTCTCGACCACTTTCATATGTTTCAATTTTAATAGCTCAACCCGCCACCGACGGGCATACCTGCCGTCCGTATCAACATATGAAATTGCTGTTGATGGAGAGAGGGAGAACCAACGGCAACGTCACCGACATGCGGTGGTGATTTTTCTTTAACACGGGAGTCCCCCGCTTCACTGAGTGTATGAAATTTCTGCGTGCTAAACTAGGTGTAATTTATTTCAATAAAAGTCTACATACTTAAATTATCCCAAAAACAGGAGATTTTATTTTTTTACCATCTTAAAATATTTCCAAAGTAAAACTTTGTTAAACCTCTCTGTTGTGATACTTTTTCAATTAACTTATCCCCTGAATTCAATTTGAGATTTTATATAGGAGGCATGCAAGAGGGACAAGTAGTTTAAAAACGAAGCCTTTTCAAAACATTTCGATCGATACCCATATTGTAGCAATACCTTGGAATTATTCAATTGATGGCATTTAACTTTTTAAAGATTTAGCAACCCTTTTAACCCTCTTTCGTTTGCCACAGATATTGTGATATATACATATGTATTTAAATTTACTTATTCCCATAATTCATGTTGAATTTGAGTTTTCAGCAGATGGAAATCCTACTATATGTAGAAATAAAGTCCTTTCAAGGCGCATTTGATTAAATATAATAACTTATTTAACTTATAATATAATTGTATTTAAATTTATTTTTAAAACAGGTGGCAACACTCTTCAAATACCTCAGGAAATTCTGCATGTTCAAGATGTCTAAACACTCTTGTGTTTGACTTTTTCACCTGTGTATAATTTAATTAAATTTGACTTTTCAAACATGTGGCAACCCTCATCAAAAAAAATATTGTCAAACTAAAACCTTATTTAACTTCTTTCGTCTACCACTCATATTGTGATACATGTTCCAATTCCTTTAATACATGTAAAATTTGATTTTGTAAATAGGTGGCAACTCTGACACATGTAGTTTAGAAATGCAGCTTTTTCAAACCCATATTGTAATAATTCATTTAAACTAATTGAATTTAATTTTTAAATAGGTGGTAACCCTGCCAAAAAAACTCAATAATATTCTAAATTTGCAACTAAAGTTTTTTTAACAATGGGACGTATGAATAAAAATAAGCGAATGCTTTTTCTTAAAATTTCAGACCATCTACTCGATTTATTCAAGCAAAGTTTAAATAAAAGGTATACATTTTTAAGAAAAAGCAACTGCTTAATTTTTATTCATACGGCCCAATATTTCGTTTGACACCCATTTTTTAAGTTTTAAGATAGCTTGCGAATAATTAATTTAAATTTGACTTTTCAAACAGTTGGCAACTCAATTAAACATAATTTCAAACTACAACTTTTTTAAGCCCCTCTATCCATTTCTTAATATAATTTTCAAACAAATAATTCCCTTACTTCAAATTTAATTTATCTTTTTTTTTAACAGGCGGCAGCCCTCGTCCATGAGTATGGAATTGAAATTCCAAGTATGCATAACAGAGCCTTTAGCAAATATTTGCAAGCTCCACTGCCAGATGGCGTCCACGGTTGCATTGCGAGCAAAATAAATTTTTAATTATTTCCAGTGCAAAGCAAAACAGGACCTATACGTATGTTTCTTCTTATTTTGACTTTCTTCAACATTCGCTTCAATTTCTTTGTGGAACTCGACAGTGGTGTCCGATTACGAATACAGCTTTTTCAGCCGAGTACCTTTCAAATGTTTGGAATTAATTAAATTAATTGAATTAGCAAATGTTTACAAATTTCTTTCATTAGCAAATCGCAACAAGAATGTTGATTTTTAAATTTAACGAACCTCTCTATTCAAATTATTGTTGACAAAAATGCAACCGTGTGCCAAAATCCTGCTTGCTAATTCTTCCGCTCCAAATGAAATGTTAACATTGTGCTCTCTCCTTGCAAGTTTTACTATTTTTTTTTTGCCAAACGAACACGATTTTGTAACAATTGGTACCAACTTGTACCAGTTTTTTGCATAGCGAACACTCTTATTATGGGTCAGAAACTTCCAAATAGCCACTTTAGCAGCGTATGTACACGACCGAAGACCTATTCTGATCTAAATGAATCAATTGAAATTTTTTTTTGTCCCATTTGACAATAGTTGCAATCCCATACGAGTCCGGACTAGTCAGAATTAGTCAGAATTTACAGGAATTCGATCCCGTACTCAGTCCACTGAGTAGTGAGAGGACAAAAAAGAGCGTAAATAAGGTCCTCTCTCTGTCAGAAATTACCAGTTTTAGTACGAAGATTTTTTCTTGGTAAATGTGTCAAACGATCAGCTGTAGTGTGTTTGACAACAAAATTGTAAACAAGGGAAAAGTGTACTCTGCTAATGCATGTTGAAAAGTATTTAATTAATTGTTTAAGTGGATTCTAATAAATTTCAAAGTGTGAGCTAAGCGTGTTTACATACAAAATAAGCAAAAATTTACATACAAAATTGGGAGGTTATGTGGAACTTGTTAGAAGTTACCATTTCTTTTTACTAAAAGCGATCCCGTACTTTTCAGTGTACTCTCCCCCTCTGAGCGAATTTTTATTTTTTGACAGTTTTACTAGTTTTAGTCCGAGGAATACGGCATTGGACCTATGCAGTTTTCACTTCTTTGACGACATAGTGAAAATAAGTTTATTCTACTAAAATTTAACGGGCTATAAAACTGCGTAAAAATCTGATCACAAAGTCGAAAATTTGGATACATTTTTGCAGAGCTTTTTAATTTTTGCGCAAAGTTTGAAATATGTATTTACATAGATTTTGTTAGATAGTGAGCTATACTTTTATAAAAAAAATATTAAATAAACAAAAGTAGGCAAAATTTGTTAAAATGTCCAAATTTATTTCTCCACCACTGTATTTAAAGAAAAACATATACATTCGTATATTAAACAATAAGAGAAACTAAATTGATACCATCGTCCAATGTGCACCTTTTAGAACTAGGTTTAGAGTCACCCTGATCCGACTTAAATTGAATCTAACATAAAGTGGTGCTGGGACTAGGGATCGAACTTTTTGTAGTTGTTGTAGTAGCGACTTACTTAGCCCTGCCTAGGCTGGCTTGTCCATCGAACTTTTTTTCTACCGGGTGTTAGGACTCACCTCAAACCATTTTGCTGCGTCGGCTTAAATATTCCTTTCCAAAGGCTTCCATACGAGGATGGTTACGGGTGCAGAAGTCCACGCATATGGGGGAAGTTTCTAGTCGCGATTTTCCATAGAGGGGTCAAGAACGATTCCTTTGCGTCCAGTTCAAGCAGCTTTGGACTTCCAAAGTTTACACTAAGGGCCCGTTACTTAATGTCTGGTTAACACTAAGGGCCGTTTGCACCATGTCTAGTTAATTCTAACTCCCAGTTAAACATCGTTATCAACACCCATCATATAACATGTGATCGATAAAGCAGTTGATGTGCTTAACTGAAGGATGTACATCCAGTTAGCGTTAACTGGACATGGTGCAAACGGCCCTTACTATACAGTTAAACGTCGTTATCGACGTTATCGACTCCCTGTAATACGTTCCGACGACAACCGGATCTACGTATCGGAATTACTCGGGTTTTACGCGACCAAGGTTTGTTTTATCGGTGATCTAACCCCCTTTAGGTCGGCGAAATCCATCA